CCTCTTGCTGGTACCCAATTCAAAAGAAGTTCATTGAGGACGTCATATGACATTAAACCTTCAAAAATAATAGCTTTAAAAATTTCACCAAATCAATATGCCGTCTATATCTTTATGCTAATATTTCTTCCTGGTATTCAGTTTAAAGCAAGTGCAAGGAAAAATTCATTTACAATTAAATCTTTACAATATATGGATCTGAAAATTGCAATTTCAGAACTAATGGGTTTATAAATTTATACTCGTTCCTCTTCCTGGTATTCAATTCAAAAGAAGCCCAAAGAAATGTCATTCAAAATCAAATCTTTACAATATATGAATCTGAAAATTGCAATTCCAAAACTAAAGGGTCTATAAATTTATGCTCGTTCCTCTTCCTGGTATTCAATTCAAAAGAAGCCCAAGGAAATGTCATTCAAAATCAAATTTTTACAATATACGGAGATAAAAATCGCACCATACTAAAACTGTTGTATTCTATATAAATTTATGCTCATACCTCTTGGTGGTACTGAGTTCAAAAGCAATCCAATGAAAGTGTCATTTAAAATCAAGTCTTCACAATATACAGTTCTAATGATGTTAAATTTTGGTATAGTCTAAAATCCTGTTATATGTCTCACTAACGAAATGTGTGTGTTTTATTCTAAAAATGGTAAATATCTGAAAATTAAAGTAGTTTTACTTTAATACTAAAACAATGAAGTCTTTACACGGAAAATTGAAATAATAAATAAAATCCAAATAACGTTTATGGTGTTTATGGTACTTGTCTTTGAAACTTCTGAAAACATCTCATTAATTGGAACTAAAGGATAGAAAACGGTTCATGCTGAGACTAAGAAAGCTATTTTTCATTATAATTAACCTTATGTTTTCAAATATTTTATTAAAAAAAAATTACAACTACTTTGGTGGCACATTCAATATAAAATGAAATGCTAATACTAACCAATTCATTATATGAATTAGCCTCATATAAGTACAGCTAACTGCCAATTAGGGTTAAAGAAAGAAAAATAAAAAATTGTTTCATTATTAACACAAAAAAGAACCATTTTTAATATAATAGAAATCAATATACATAAAATCTGTGCTTTTATGGTACTTCAACAAAAATAAATAATCGAGAAAAACAACAGAATTAAAGTAACTGCGGGCAGATGTGCAACATCTATTCAAATCAAGATATAACCAAAGGAAAACGAACTGAACTGCCATAGCATTTTACCGCAAAGAAGAACACAGATAAGATCGCAGTGTGGCAGTTTGGGCCACATTAACTAGTAAACCAACTGCAAAAACAACTATAATCGTAACAGAAACAGCACAGAGCACTGCAGTAATAACAAATATTAAACATCAACAATGGAGACAGTTCTAATCTCTAATCTAAGCGATCACCCGCCATAATTTCTTTAAAAGGAACGAAAAAATACTCGTGTAGATGCAGTTAGCCAGCCACATATAAGAACAATATTTTGCTTTTACATTATTACAAAAGAAAAATTATTTACGGAGGTGTGCCCGTTTTAATGTTGGATTGAATTAGACAAACCTTTCGCTTGGTAAATACTTATACGGCATTAAACTTACAGGATATCTTCATATAAAAGCACTTCACCCAAATGCACCAAACAGAGTCTTAGTTCAAGGGAATTAAAAACGTCCAAGTCCATTTGTATAAAATCAGAGCTGCTGTTGTTTTGATATCACAGCAAATAAACCCATGGCCTGAAACTTTCTATAGATGTGTGCCTCTAAATGCTACTTCGTATGCTGCACGTCTTATGCACGCTGCAGTTTTTTTCAGCACATAGAGCAACTAAGTTTTGGGGGCACTTGGACTAGCCATCACGTTAAATATATTTTTTTGTGGTCATGTAGCTATTAAAGTACTAAATTATGTTGAATTACGTTGCTTTTTTTGTAAAAGTAAACATGCATTTACCATGTAATCGCTGACGTTAAACAAAAGAAGCGCACTCAAATAAACAAAAATCTTCTTTAAGCTAAACAAAAAAATCATAGCAAAATTACTAAAAAACTAAATTTTCAACTTCTGGCTAAAACTTCTGGTAAAAGCAAAGAAAGTACTCATCTTCTAAATTTTATATTACTTTTTTTTATAAAGATTTGCCTGCTGCTTCATGCAGTTGCGCCCGAACGTTCTACCTAAAAGATCATTTATCATTATCGCATTTTTGCAATCTATCAACGCTTACTACTGCAAATTAATTTTCAAAATCAAACTAAATATTCTTGGCATACACTTGACTAAGCTTGGCTTAGCACAACGTGTGTATACAATAAATTGTGGCAACATGCTGCGCTGTCTGATGTTGCCGATACAAAGCAGAGATTATATCGGTTAAGTGGTTAAACTTTTGTGTAATTATGGCAGTTAATTTGACAGTTTCGAAAGGATATCTAGTCTTGTGCTTTGCACTCCTCTATTTTTAAAAATAATTAAAAAAATATTACTATAAGCAATTATAAGGCAAAAATATATAATGCAAATGTACTATATATATATACATTTCTTAACATTTTAATAAAAAGGTTTTTCGAATAGTAGTGAACTACAACAACAAAAATTAATTTTATATTATTTTAATTAAATGAATATCCTCAAAAAATTATTTACGAATAAACAAATACAAGAATTATTTCCAAAACCACTGATGATGGGTATTTGGCAATGCTCGAAACAGCTGTATTGTCAGCCAAAAATTCAATTAATTAAAATAATATAAAAAATAAATTTTTGTTGTTGTAGTTCACTACTGTTCGAAAAAACTTGTTTATAAAATAATTTAAATATAAAAAATTGTTTTCACTAATTGAAATATTCTTATAATATTATTTATTTGAATAAATTTCGATAATTTCCCTTTTGGGAAATATATTTTGCAATGTTGCATTTGACATTTTTTGGTGTAATTTCCCTTAATTTATTCTTAACTATTCAAAACCACGAAAATACGGATATATCATGTTTCCACTGCAGCTAAAACTACTAATGTTAATGACCCTTCAGACCCTGGATTGATGACAAAAAAGGTTATGTATGTTATCATTGCTCCATTTAAATACAACTGAAATAGTTTATGCTGTTCATTCTATGTTCTAGTGGGACCCAGAGGTATTTAATATTTTTATACATGAAAACTAAAGATTTTGACAAGATCATCTACTCATTCGTTAAGATTCTCTGTGTTTTAGTGACTTTTTGCTAGTATTGCTTTTAATGTATTGTGAAGTGATCGGCTAGACTTAATATCTAATATTTAATTTTAATACCTATATATTCATTTGATAAGTAATAGTTCTAAAATTTTATGCCGCAACTGATCTACAATACTATTAAATGCCAACTACTGTAAAGCGAACATTTTTTAATGTAAAATACTATCAAGAAAGAAATAAAATCAATGTACGGATATATAAAGTAACTATAATTAATGGTTTAAGCATTTTGCATATTTTATGTGATTTCCGTTTTAATTTACTTGCAGCTTTAGATCATGTCGATCAATCGGTTTGCCCTTAGACTTCCTGAAAATATTGTAATAACAACATGCTTTGTTTAACACATACTTGAGAACTTAAGTTTTTGTTTACAATAATAATTGTTTATAGCAAAAAAAAAAAATAATATTATTAAGAATTTCACATATTTTTTGGAAAGTATCTAATCTTAGATCTTGATACTTTGTGCTCATTATACAATTATCAAGTTTGTTACAAAAAATATTCACCTAGCTGTTAGCTGAAATTGTCAATTGAATAATAAAATACTAAGCAGCACAGTTGATATGGAGAGGAGATGCATCCGCTGCGTGTTTGTCTGCAATTCATATGTTCCCACAATAGTAACTACCAATATTTTCCACCTGTTGCCTTAAAGATAACTAAACGCAGATAAAACGTACTAACGCTTTACTATTTTCCTTATATTAAAATTCATGGAAAACAAATTTCTACGCATAAGCATAAACTATATAATCTCTTAGCAACAATACTAACAACAAACAACGATAACAATATCAGCAACAGCAACAGTAATAGTAACAACAACAGCAATCATAGCAACAACAGAACACATTGCAACAATTCGAATAGTTAAGGCACTAAAGGAAGAGTGGTTCGTCGCATCCGTTGTATGGAATACGTATAGTTTTGTTGTTGTTGTAGTTGTTGTATGTATCTGTT